GATCACCTCTCTGAAATCACTGTGTACATTGTTTCAGTCTGGATCAGTTCTAAAAAATCACTGTGTACATTGTTTCAGTCTGGATCAGTTCTCTAAAATCACTGTGTACATTGTTTCAGTCTGGATCACTTCTCTAAAATCACTGTGAGCATTGTTTCAGTCTGGATCACCTCTCTGAAATCACTGTGTACATTGTTTCAGTCTGGATCAGTTCTCTAAAATCACTGTGTACATTGTTTCAGTCTGGATCACTTCTCTAAAATCACTGTGTACATTGTTTCAGTCTGGATCAGTTCTAAAAAACCACTGTGTGCATTGTTTCAGTCTGGATCACTTCTCTAAAACCACTGTGTACATTGTTTCAGTCTGGATCACTTCTCTAAAATCACTGTGTACATTGTTTCAGTCTGGATCACCTCTCTAAAATCACTGTGTATATTGTTTAAGTCTGGATCACCTCTCTGAAATCACTGTGTACATTGTTACAGTCTGGATCACCTCTCTGTAAAACCTCTGTGACCTTTAAGTCAAGGTCAAGGAGATACAAGTAGTTTGCAAAGTGCTTGTTGCCATGGCAATTGCTATAATTGAGATACTTTGTATAATGCATAAGTATGTATGTTTCACTAATGTCATCAAAACAAAATTCTGCATTTATTTAATTTAGGTATAAATTGAAACTGAGTCTTGCTTTTAGCAAAAGCTGTTCCAGCCACGTACACCCTAATTAAGTACATTAATCAACAAATACTATGGCAACAGAGCTTGCAATTTATTATAAAAGTTTTCCCGCACACATTTTTTCTGACATTGTTTTATTAATGTTCACTTGATGTTTATACATGCTCATGTATATATTGAAAAAATTAAACATTGTGTCATAAGAGTGCTACGTTCATGATGTCATATATTTATAACTAGTGTTGCTCAGTAATAAATTAGGTGACTTGTTTAGTATTTTCACGACCAAGAACTAACACCTGAAATCCATCTGCTGATCTTTGATCAAAAGTTAGGGAAAAAGAAATGAACGGTTGGCATGACAACATTATTGAGTTCAGATGGATGTCAGTGTTCAAAATAACTGAACTGGAATTATTACAGCCAAAGGGCGGTTTTGAAGTGAAGACAGCGTGATTGAAATATTTCAATGGTTTCGGGTTTGTCAATGTTAAACATAACAAGGATTACGTTATCTGTCTCTTCATCCTGATGAGCTCGAGATTTAATATTCAGAGGTAAACGACAATCGACTCAATGATGCCATATGTAGTCGGTTATAAAGTTGAATAAAGGGAGGGGACCACCATCAAGTTGACTGAGAAATACCACTTATTGAGGGACATAAAAATAAAAACAGATCTAGACTGTTGGTATGTTTGGAATTATGTTGTATTGATATCAGCCGCTCACAATGCCGAGTCTTTGGCTTTTATCGAATCCATCTACTTACTAAAACTGACAATACCACGATGTCTATCTTGAATAGATGCAGTTCAAAACGGAGCAAAGGTCAAGGATCCTGTTTTTGACTGTCTTCTTTTATTTGCTCTGGTAGCTAAATATAGAATAATTCAGACGTAGCACTAGACGGTGTATGCAAATTATGGCGTTGCAGCTTGGCTGTGACTCATTCAATAAACTGCGGCTGTGAACTTGTTTAAATATTCATGTATATTTTGGTATTGACTCAAAATGTAAGTAATATCATTTGAAAATCATGTTAAACTCTCTTTAAATTTTGTTTCTCAAATAATGATTTTCCTTTTTAATGGTACAATGTAGTTTAGAATTGGAAGTTTTTTTTTTCCTTCATTTTTTAGTTTCATCGAGCAAGGAAATGAACATGTACTTGCAGGCTCTGTTGTGTTCGATATTTTCTGTTATTTAGTCACTTTATTTTTGCCTTTTTTTCAAAGTTTTGCTGTGTCTATTGTCGTAAATGAGTCTTGTTGATTGCTCAAGTTTATAATGGAACAAACTTGTTATTACATCGTAATATCAAGGATATCGTTAATTCTTTATAACGAAGACAGCATTAAATTGTGATGGGCTGAGACAGTGTATATTCATACCTGCACCTTGATCAACAGTGGGCATCTAAATTGAGAAGCAAAGTTTGTGAATATTTTTAACTAAATCCATTCCTAATCTAGATGAAAGAAGCCTGCTTTTTGTCAATTCATAGCCGTAGCCTATTTCTGATTTTGTATGTATTTTGGCAGTGTTAATTGTCAAACTCTGATAGTGTGAGCAGAACGATAATATGAAGGTAACCTTTGCCATATCGACACAGCAAATTGAAAGTTCATCTTCTAATAGACTCACCAGTTTACTTGGAAACGTGGTTGATATCTGAGATGTTGTCAAGCTTTTGACAAATTGTCAGTTTCTGATATCCCTGAAGGCTGAGATTGAGGCAATGGTTTATGCTATGAGACTGGCCAGATTTCAACTCAGATACGTTATGTGAGTGCTCCGCCCCCTTGTTAATATTTACAACAACGCTTGTCCTTAAAATGCACTGTAGTTTACAACGTATTAAACATAATTTACTGCACAATAATAACTAAAGTATTTTTGAAGTTCTGATCAAATATGGCTTACTGCGGCCATAAATCAGATTGTGAAATCATGTTTATAGTGTAGCTAGAAGTCTGTAAAGTGATAATTAGTTTCATCGCTTAAGAGTTAACATGGAGCTAAACAGAGTTTACATGAAGCTAAGCGTTGTTAAAATGAAATCCTTATTAATAGCTCAGTGGCGTTCACAAAGTAGCACATACCGTAGTTATGGCTCACTATCTCTATCAGAGTCTCTGGAATCTGAATTGGACATTGAAATTATATAAATTCTGTTTTCTCACTTACAACCCGTTTATGATAACTTGGTTGCCATGGTTTTTTCCACCCAAATTTTTGTGTAGTATTTTGCATATTTCTGTGTTTTTAAATGATTTCATTGATAATTTTCAATTACATTGACATAGTATCTTATTGCCTAACATGAATTTTCTGGAAAAAAAATTGAAAAATCAAAATCAATATTTTGTGTAAAGTGACAAAAGTGGATTTTGGTGCTTAAAAAAAGTTCCTGTATCAAAATTAGATTCTTGCTTTGAAGCATTCACATAAAAAATGTTTGAAAAACCTTTGAAAACTTTAAAGGCTGCAGGTCTTGTTCTATATTGTATCCAACACTCAGATGGGTGTTTTTCTTTGTGTCCAAAATATTTTGTTCTATTTCATAACTGGTTAATTTCGTGTTTCATTTTCAAACGTGAATGATTTAGTTGCTGCATTTTCTTTTTTCTTGAGCTGTTTATTCTGTTTTGTGCTCATTGCATAAAGCTAAATCCGCCATGTTTGTCCACATCGTGCATCCATTGTCTCTGACTCGGCATACATGTTTCACAATTCTGCATTTATTTTATAGAAGGTATAAATTTATTTCACCGTATTTGCATTATTGGCAGCTTATGCACTGCTTCTGCAACCAAGAAAATTGTTGAGTGACAAGCTTGTTGACATTTTCAATGTTTACCGTGTTATGCTACTAGAAATCCAGTAATTAATTTTCTATATTCTATACAATCATTTTCACTTGTTCTGCGAAAATGAAGTCTGTAATTAATGATGCATGTTTAACTAGTACAGTAGACAACAATTGTGTCGTATATCGTCTGATCAATTCTCAAGATAAAGCAAAAACAAGATGTTACATGTGTCAATTTATTCTTTTCTTTCCTCTTATCACTGATATCATTAATTCCAATGTTCTCCGGCGGCACGACTTCTCCTGCTGTTTTACTCGTGGTTAAATTTCCTAATTAGTGGAGAAATGGTCGAGTATGCTTCATGACAAAGTTCAGATTTATTGCTGAAAAATAGTTTTTCAAAGACTGCAGACACGTTTTACTCTGCCTTCAGCATGAATTCAATTATAGGAGAAAAATCGTTTATTCTCATCATTCCTTCTGTAATTTTGCAACGTTTTCCTGAATTCCATATGGTTGTTTTTTTCTTATGTGCCTAGATAACAAGAAAAGATAAAGAGCTTGTATTCTGTTTACAATTCATTATTTTTTGATTGATCCGTTTATGCATGTATATAAAAGAATGGTTTTCTTTGAATGGCTAATTACCAGTAGAAAAAGCTTTGTAAAACAAATGAAGGCAATTTTTTTTCATCGCTTGATTTCTATTTTCCAGTTTGGTTGAGGTGCAAAATTGGAAGGTTTATCCAAACTTTCTCCAGTGTAACACCTGTTTAAGCCGATTCCAGTTCACCAAACAAAAATATTTTCTCCATCTCTTTAGTGTCAGTTTTGACATGTTTCACTGTAAGACCTCTCTCTATAAACTGAACAACACTGTAAACCAAACAATTTTGTGGTCGTATGTAGTCGTTGAAACCATAATAAGCCATAGGTGTGTTTTGATGTTGATAATTTCTATATATTTATTGATCCATGTGATTTGTTTCAAGTTAATGAGTAATTCCGAGTTATGTGTTTATACATGTACATGTAATACATAATTATTCTGCCCCAGTTTGTATTGAAATTGTTCAATAACATTCTATCTTTACTTTCTGGCTGATATTCCATTATTAATTTAGTACGCAGTCACTGATTGGTTGACCTTCGTCTGCGTGGAAAACGCCTTAATGTTCCATTTCAAATTTAATGGTAGTTCTGTTCTTGTTTAGTCTGTGTTCAACTGTGTGGGTCAGTTAATTCATCTGTTTATGCAACGTTTATGTTTTATGACATTCTATAAGTCTCTGTAACTGTCAGAAATTACACAATTTACACAAAGTGTTACGTTGAACAAGTGATTCGTGAGTTTTCAAATTCAAGTTGTTTCGTTGATTGAGAAGTTTGAATGTGGCTGACCGAACCCAACTACAGCACCCCTATAAACTTGACTGTCTCTGTAAACCAAACTGAAACCATAGATAATCAAAAAAAATCCCATTTTTTTGTTGTATTCTGCAGATTTTCAAGGTGCTGTGTCCAATAATTTACATGTGGGTATGAACTTGAATGATATGCCTATGTGTTCTACAGTCAACTTTCCTTCAGTGACGACTACGTCAATACCGACAACACCCGACACTAATTCGCTGCCTCCCAGCTCCCCAGATGAATCGACACCTCCCCCAAGGATATACAAGCCATGCTTTGTATGCCAAGATAAGTCTTCAGGATATCATTATGGTGTGAGCTCTTGCGAGGGGTGTAAGGTGAGTCAATTTTTTTTTCAATGTTCGAGAGGAATCCTGGTGGGTAGTGTTCATTTAATTTTTCCAATGTCTGTCAAAATCACCTTAGTTTCAAGGGAGCTTGAATCAAATTCAAATTTAGCACTACTGAGCACGTTACAGCACATATATGCAATGCATTATGGGAGATAACTAAATTTTGTACTGCTGAGCATGTTACTGCACAAATATGCAATGCATTATGGGAGATACATATTGTCATACTGGACTTGGACTAAATTTTATGTCAATTTTTTGAAATGTTGAAACTTTAGAATTTGTATAAATAACATTATATGATTTTTTCATCCAATGCTATCAAGCTAATTTTTAAGATATTTAAAAAATAATTTTACCATGGAAACCAGTGCAAACATGCCAATTTACCATTTTCCATGACATTTTGGACTCTTGTAACTTGAAAAATTGTATGAGGATCCCATATTTTTTTCATTTCCAGTATCATGACATAATCTTCAGTAATCCTCCAAAAAAAAAATATTTAATGTGTTGGTGTGCAGCTTTTAAATGGTTCAGTTTTCTCACAAAACAAATTTCACGAAAATGTAACTCTCATTGAGAAATGTGAAATGTGGTTTTTGTTTAACTGAGACACTTTAATGAGCAGACTTAATAAGTTTGACCTTTCTGTCAATAAATGAAGGTTCAAACTATTAACATTTCTTCTGTGGGCCTCCAATTATGCATGTCGTCAAAACTTGTCATTACGATGTTGTAAATTACTACATTGAAAAAAATAATAACTAAAAGAATTGCATCAACAGACTGACAATTTTCATTTTTCCACGATTTCAATATTAGTACTGCATTTAGAAACTACTCTATTATTAAAATTGTGTGGTTTATGAACAGTGATTGCCTATTCTCTAAAACCAATTGGTAGATGATTTTTCTCAGGCCGATTTGTAGATGACCCTTCTC